GTTTTTAAGGAGCCTAGCATCTTGGCGAAATATTTGAAATTATGCTTATTGTTCGTCTGCGATAATAGTTTTTCGTTACTTATTTTATTACGATAAAAAATGTGAAATTATCATTATTGAAAATATAACACCATCTATGATAAAGAGTTCACATCAACTCCCCGCAATGAACATGCTTTATCGGATGCATATTAGATGAATTTAATATAGTTACCCCTTTAACATCCAAAGAAAACCTAGATTTCATAAAAATCTTGTAGCGTAAACTAAAACAAATCATAGAAAAACTCGAAATACTGGTAATATACCAAATCCAGCCATCCACAATCCCTAGAATCGCAATGCAAACCATAAACTGTCGCCAAAATATTTCCCTCCAAACTCCTAGACACAAATTTAAAAACAAAACGACAGCCAAGCGTGGTCAGCAGGTATCTTGGAAGAGGTGAATAAGCAGCTTCGAGACGTTGGGAAGTGAGTGGCCTGAGAGAATGGTGTCGGCGTGTTCGCAAGCCATGCTCCGGATGTGGGTCACTTTCATCACCAGTTTGGCCCATCTGCGAAAGGTCAAAGGTCAATTAGGGAGATCGAGGAGATAGAATGAGAGGAATGGAGAGGAGGTGAAGAGGAGTGGAAGAGGGGAAGAGAAGAGGAGGAGGGGAGGGGAGGGGAGGAGGAAAGGAGGGAAGAGGGGAAGAGGGGAAGAGGGAGAGGGGAAGAGGGAAGAGGAGGGAGGAGGGAAGAGGAGAAGAGGGGGAGGGGGAAGAGGGGAGGAGGGAAGAGGGGAGGTGGGGAAGAGGGAGGGAGATGTAGAGGGTTGGAAGGGAGAAGGAGAGAGGAGAGGAAATAGAGGGGAGAGGAAAGGAGGAAGAGACGTAGACGGGTGGAGGGAAGAGGAGAGGAGAGAGGTAAGAGGAGAAGGCGAGAGGAAGGAGAGAAAGAGAAAAAGGAGGAGAATAAAGATCACGGTTCATTGAACATGCAACCCCCACCCCCCTCCACGTAACAATACCGACGAATCTCAAATCAAAACAAATGAACCTAAAACAAAACAAACACGACCAAAATTAATTACCTAATTGGCTGATCAGGACACCCAGTTGCCACGTATCGCTTGCAGGCCACCAGGAGAGCGTCCTGCACCGCCTCCACACTCTCCATATCCGTTAGGCCAGGACGGTCTGCGTGAAAGAAAAGGTCAGTCGCCGTTACATATCGTAGTTAAGTAATGAAGAATTGCATAGAAAATAAAGAGTATATAAGAATAAGATACAAACGCAATAATAAAAAAGGTTTGGGTACTGGACTATCTTCTTTGACAAGATCTTTTAGAATGTACATAGGTTCTAAATCGTCTTTCCTTCCTCTTCCTTCTAATTCTGCAGGTAGTCTAAATGCCCCTCTTAACTCACCTGTCTGCAGTGCCACCAGCGCCGTCAGGAGTGCCGCTTCGGTGCTGGACAGGTGCAGGCGTGCCACGGAAGCGCCGAGCTCGAACATGGGATGGACCAGTGCCCAGAGTGCCCCGCCCATGGCTGTCTGGACCTGAAGGCAAAGGAACGTGGGAAACATTATCATGAGGACAAAATGAAAACAAAAAATATTAGTTCAACAGATGGTTCTATTCCCCTAAATTACCAGGGAAGTAATGTCGTTATATTGATGGAAAAAAAACATCACTAAACTTGTATTACTTATTATGTAAAAAAACGGACGTAATGGAAAAAATCACCAACCAAATACACAGGACAAAAAGATGACAGAAAATAACAAATAAGCGAAACAAAAAAGATATACACAAAGACACACCTCCTAAAAACAGATTAGAAAGATGCCACCCAAACCACACGACAAGAAAGATGACACCTGAGACCTGCAGACTTGGCGGCCGTTTCGAAACGAAAAAAAAAAAAATACATACACAAGACGCACTCCAAAAAAAAAAAAAAAAAAAAAAAAAAAAAAAAAAAGAAGATGCCACGCAACCCACGCGACAAAGAAAGATGACACACCTGAGACCTGCAGACTTGGCGGCCGTTTCGAAACGAAAAAAAAAAAAAAAAAAAAAATACATACACAAAGACGCACCTCAAAAAAAAAAAAAAAAGAAGAAAAAAAAAAAGAAGATGCACCACCCAACCCACGCGACAAAAGAAAGATGACACACCTGAGACCTGCAGACTTGGCGGCCGTTTCGAAACGAATAAAAAAAAAAAAAAAAAAAAAAAAAATACATACACAAAGACGCACCTCCTAAAAAAATTAAAAAGATGCACCACCGAACCCACACGACAAAAAGAAAGATAACACACCTGAGACCTGCAGACTTGGCGGCCGTTTCGAAAAAAAAAGTTATATACACAAAGACGCACCTCCTAAAAAAGATTAGAAAGATGCACCACCCAAACCCACACGACAAAAGAAAGATGACACACCTGAGACCTGCAGACTTGGCGGCCGTTTCGAAAACGAAAAAAAAAAAAAAAAAAAAAAAAATACATACACAAAGACGCACCTCCTAAAAAAGATAAGAAAAGATGCACCACCCAAAACCCACGCGACAAAAGAAAGATGACACACCTGAGACTGCAGACTTGGCGGCCGTTTCGAAACGAATAAAAAAAAAAAAAAAAAAAAAAATACATACACAAAGACGCACCTCCTAAAAAAAATTAAAAAGATGCACCACCCGAACCCACACGACAAAAGAAAGATAAACAACCTGAGACCTGCAGACTTGGCGGCCGTTTCGAAACAAAAAAGTTATATACACAAAGACGCACCTCCTAAAAAAAATAAGAAAGATGCGCCACCCAAACCCACAACGACAAAGAAAGATGACACACCTGAGACCTGCAGACTTGGCGGCCGTTTCGAAACGAAAAAAAAAAAAAAAAAAAAAAAAAAATACATACACAAAGACGCACCTCCTAAAAAAATAAGAAAGATGCACCACCCAAACCCACGCGACAAAAGAAAGATGACACACCTGAGACCTGCAGACTTGGCGGCCGTTTCGAAGCGGGAGGGCCTTGGTGACCGGGTTGTACCTCAGAGCCGTGCGCAGGAAAAGGACCTCCAGGACACAGCCACGCAGGAGGACGAGTTGGTCGTTGTTGCTCAGCTGAAAGAAGGATATTAATGGATAAGAAGGATATTAATGGATAAGAAGGATATTTCTGGATAAGGATTATTAATGGATAAGAAGGATATTAATGATAAGAAGGGTATTTCTGGGTAAGAAGGATATTTCTGGGTAAGAGGATATTTTTCTGGTAAGAAGGATATTTCTGGGTAAGGATATTTCTGGGGTAAAGGTATTTCTGGTAAAGGATATTACTGGATAAGAAGGATATTAATGGATAAGAAGGATATTAATGGATAAGAAGGATATTTCTGGGTAAGAAGGATATTTCTGGGTAAGAAGGATATTACTGGGTAAGGATATTACTGGATAAGAAGGATATTACTGGATAAGAAGGATATTACTGGATAAGAAGGATATTAATGGATAAGAAGGATATTAATGGATAAGAAGGATATTAATGGATAAGAAGGGGTATTACTGGGTGAGAAGGATATTTCTGGGTAAGGAGGAGGGGGGGGGATGTTGGGTAGGGAGACGGAAAGGTAACGAGGAGGAAACTTTGGGTAAGAGGAAGGTCATTTTTGGGTAAGAAGATTATCATTGGGTAATATAGAGGAAATTTTGGGTAAGAAGGAAGTAGGAAACACTAGGATAAGGAGGAAGAAATGTATTTTATCTGTTTTTTTTTTTTTCTTTTTTAAATCGTAAAATGAATAACAGGTAACCTAAAAGAAGGGTATTTATGACCAAAGATGGCACTACGGAGAGATCAAAGGATAAAAAAAATAACATGATTGTAAGAAGTCGGGAAGAAAATATCAAAACCTATTTTATCTACATTCTTCCCCTCGATCACCTGTCCCTATTCTCCCCCCCCCACTCTATTACACCTTATTCCACTACAATAATTCCCCTCACTCACCTGTCCTCTATCCCCTCCTCCTCCTCTTACACTTGTCTTATTTCGCCTCCTATCACTTTATCCTACTAAATTCACCCCTTCACTCACCTGTCCTCTACGCCCCCATCTTCCTCTTACACCTGTCCTCTATCCCCCCCGTCCTAGTACACCTGTCCTCTTACACCTATCTCTTACCCCCCCCCCCGTCCTGGTACATCTGTCCTTAACGCCCCCCCCATTCTTCTTACACCCGCCCCCTTCCTCTTACACCTGTCCTCTACCCCCCTTCCTCTTACACCTATCTCTACCCCACCCCGTCCTATTTACACCTGTCCTCTACCCCCTCCCCTCTAATTACACCTATCCTCTACACACTCCCGCTTCCTCTTACACCTGTCCTCTGCCCCCCCCCCTTCCTCTACCCCCCCACCTATCCTCTACCTCACCCCCCGTCCTAGTACACCTGTCCTCTACCCCCTCTTCTTCTTACACCTGTCCTCTAGGCCCCCCTTCCTCTTCACCTATCTCTACCAGCCCCGTCCTATTACACCTGTCTACCCCTCCCCTCTAATTACACCTATCCTCTACCCCCGTCCTATTACACCTGTCCTTTACCCCCTCCCCCTCTAATTTTACACCTATCCTCTACCCCCGTCCTATTTCACCTGTTCTTTACCCCCCTCCTCCTCTTACGCATGTCCTCTACCCCCCTCCCCCTCTAATTACACCTATTCCTCTACCCCGTCCTATTACACCTGTCCTCTACCCCCCTGTTCCTATTACACCTATCTCTATCCCCCCTACCCGTCAATTACACCTGTCCTACCCACCCGTCTATTTACCTGTCCTCTACCCCCTCCAATTACACTGTCCTATTTTCATTCCTGTTACACCTGTCTATTTTCACTCCTGTACACTGTCTATTTTCAACTCCGTCACACCTGTCCCATTTCCTCTGCTCTTACACCTTTCCCTCCTCCTACCTTCTCTCCCTCTGACTCACCGTGGAAA